TTAAAAAACTGTTCTCTTCATTCAGATACCTTAATTCATAATGAACAGAGAGCTATTACAGAGTTTAATATCATATCTCGAATTGATTTAGTACATTTGTATTTGTTCAGGCTAAAATTAACTATGCATACTAATTGTACTAGGATTTTGTTAAATACTTCATTTAACATATGACTATTAACTTTCATTTCTATCTTTATTCCACATTATCATATTCAATTATTTCTGTATTCTCACTTTTCTAGGTCAAGAAATGTATTTCGCACGAAGTTGTTATCAGATGTAACGGATACAGATAGTACTTCTGCCAACGTCATTGATGCAGGCTGTTGGAAAAAGTAAAGAAAGATGATTTATATATAAGAATATTAATACAACTAACTACTTAGTTTTTGGTATGACTGCTTTTTTTTATTATTTAACACTATTTAATTAATAATTTAATTATTTATATAAAAAAGAAAATAATTCATTTTATTTTATTCTTCTAGGAAAAGACCTGGACTTTATCAATATTTGATTAATATTACTAGATTTATGCATACTCCATATATTAAATATCTTTATAATTTAGTAAGTATTCAATCAAATAAAAATTTTATTTATGTTTTGCTCTTAAATGAAAATTACCTTTTATTTTTTTTACTTCTTACACAAAACAAGAATTATTAACTTTGAAAAAATTAATTTTCGTATAACTTCATTAAATATTCTTATTTCATTTTAGTACTTTCATATGATTTTTCTATTACTTTTCTCCTATCTAATATTATGTGATTTTCTTCCACTCTATGGTTTTCCAATCGATATATGTACATCAGCTAAAGATTCAAAAGATCGTAAAGATAATGTTGCTGACAAGAATGATAATCAACCAAGTATAAATACTTCATTGATTGGGAACAGATATAATGCTAGTACATCAGGTTCATATGAATCGCAACGACGTAAACGACCGTCTGGTATTGAATTCGTACTTGTCATATGGATTTTTACATTAGTTTGCGAAGAAATTCGACAAGTAATTTGTTCGAATATATATATATGAAATCTCTTGTCTTATTATCTTTGTTTATTATCGATATAACAGCTATTTGCAACGGAAGCACAATCAAAACGAAATGCAATTATAGCTTATTTTAAAGTTTTTTGGAATAAATTAGATGTTTTGGCTGTAGTTTTATTTTTCATTGGTTTTACACTTCGATTTATTCCCACAGTGGAATGTTTTTGTGCTGCACGTGTTGTTTTATCAATTGATTTAACTGTTTGGTTTATGCGTACATTAGATCTTTTTGCTGCTGTAAAACGACTTGGACCTAAACTTGTTATGATTGGTGAAATGGTAAATAATCTAGTTGATTATCAACTTCTATTGAATGTTTTATTTATTTGTTTTTTTCAAGGTAAATGATTTGAGATTTTTCATGATTATGTTAATTGTATTTATTTTGGCATTTGGTGTATCATCATATAGTTTAATACATGGTATACAAAAACTTTCTTGGCATTTACTACGTGATATTATAAATCATGCTTATTGGCGAATATTCGGTGATTTAAATACTTTAGAAACTTTTGCAAGTATGAAAATTAATAAGAATTTTTAATTGAGATTACGATGTTTTTTGTTTATTCGTCTTTATTAAGCTAATTATAAAGCAAATGGTTATGCAGCATTTATTTTATTGGTTGGTTATATGGCTGTTGTTAGTATACTCTTAGTCAATCTACTTATTGCTATGTTCAGGTATTTCAAAAAAAATAAAATGAAAAAAATAAAATAGCGAATGTAAAAATTTTAAATAATTCTATGAGAATATTTTTGAAGATTGGATTAAGTCATTATTAGCATATTTCCTGTAATTTAACTTCAACTGATGTATTTAAAATTATGTATTATGTTGAATAGAATTAGAAACATATATTTTTGTATTAGTTCTATGTTATATAAATGAATATCATTGCATGTATGATTGAGATTTATTAGATTTTATTTTTAATATTTAAGATCAAAACAATCGATCCTTTTAGAAAAAAAAAGATATTTTTTGAGATAAACATATAGGCATGAGTCCTAAGGTATCTAGTTTGAAAATTCATAACAATAACGGTTAATACCTTAATTCATAGGAAAACTAGATAGTATTCGAATGAAGCTCAAGCATGAAATGCGGTACACAGTATGAATCGCGTTTTTCCTTCAGATATTTTCGTTTCACTTGAACAAGTCATTTCATTTTCTCTTTGTGAATCAAAAAAGTTACGTTTCTATCAATCAGCTGATGAAAGTCGGAGCCAAACTGAAAAGTAGTCATAGTAAAATTTGGCACTTTGAGAACTCTATGAATGTTTATCGGCATATTTCTCGTTATCTATATCATCGGCTGTACTGACAGCTGTTTCACATTTGAGCAAAGAGAGTGGCACCTATCTTTTGTTGCTTTCTTCATTTTAAGTATCTCAAAAAAATTTGTCTCTTTGGGACGCTATCTGTATGCGAACAGCACTGCAGGAGGAAACTTTAAAAAAAACAGTGCTTTCAGTTCGATCTGAACACTTTCACCTTACGCTTGAACAAATATTTTCTGACTTTTGGTTCCCAAGATCACTGCCGCACAAATTGTTAAATTTATCTGTGTATGTCTAGCTAGAATTAATTAAAGCAAACTTGCGACACAGTTCTCTATACGTACTATGCACTGCATTAATTGTAGGCACGAAAGCAGTTATCGTTCTCTATGGCGGTCCAACGTGAAGCTAGAAGACCTTTTAATAAGACTCTAGATGAACGTTTAATTCAAGGGAGGAAGTGCAGACACCATGCACCAAATTATTCTCAAAGGTGCTAAGCTGTCGCCGAGATGTGGGGAAAAGTGCAGGTTTGGAACTCCCAACATCTCAGCATCTTTTGATACTGAAAGTTAGTAATGGTAGAGGTGGACAGTTCACACTCGAGACAGCTATTTCTCAGCTATCGTAAGGACAAAACATACCGATGTTCGGATCAAATGAAAGAGGATCCTGGATAACTCTAGGACTGACCCGAACAAGCCTATATTTTGCCCTTATTATAGAAGAAAAAATCCTGCTGAAATTTGATTGGTTGATGGCTTTTTCGTTTCCTCTATACTAAGGGCAAAACATGGGCTTGTTCGGACCAGTCCTGAGGTTATCCAGGACCTTCTTTCATTTGACCCGAACATCGATATGTTTTGTCCTTACAATATCTGAGAAACAACTATCTCGCGTGTGAACTGTCTTCCCTTACCATTACTAACTTTAAGTACTAAAAGGTGCTGGAGGTTGCAAACCTGCACTTTACCCCTTAGCTTAATTGATATACGTAATATAATCATGTCAGAAAGTTCTTTATGTAAATATACAAAAAAATGTTTACACATTTTTCTTGACATTGGCTTTTGCATAAATTGTTGAATTCTGATCGGATTTGTTTTTCCGATAATGTTCGCACTAATGAACTGTGGTATTTTTTTTTTATTCGACAGATAAATATATTCTTTTTCTGATGAGGAAATGGATTTTATATTCAATCCTCAATATTAAATCAAACATAAGTTTTCTAGAAAAAGCATTACCATAGATATTTGGAGTTTTAGATTTTTGAAAATCCTAAAAATTAAATAATATTAAAATTTACATGACTTATTTTAATTTAGTAATACATTCACTAATCTTCAAGTTGATACAGATCGTATCTGGAAATTTCAACAGTATACATTAGTATGTGAATATTTATCACGTCCATCATTACCACCACCATTGATTATCTTTTCTCATGTTTGGCGATTAACTTTATGTATAGCAGCAAAATATTTTAAATTAAATTTTTTTCAAGAACAATATAGGCGACATTTGAATCGAACTGATTATAGTAAAAACATAAATGTTTTTCATTTTGAATAAATTATTTTGTTTTTTTTTTAGAAATTTCACTAGATGAAAAAAAATCAATAGCTATTGAATTAGCTGAAGATACATTTGGTGATGACGTTTATTATGATTTTTTAAAAATAGGTAGCAAATCACTTGATGAAACTGAACTCGATGAAGAACGAGCGTAAGTATAAAATGTTTAAAACAAGTATCACTAGTATTATATATAAAGTGGTGGAAAAAGTTTAGAAACAACGATTTTTTTTGATTTTTTTCATAATGTTAAGCACGTAGCTTCAATCCAAATAATGATTTTAATAGCCAATGGAGTCTTCTATCCAATACATTTTATAGCAAGATTTCACAGATGAACAAGCATGGCAAGGCTCCTAAAAAGTCGAACACGGTATTTTTCAGCTTCTAGAAGACTTTGTCAGAGCTATTTTTGAACGATGCCATCTTAAAGAACACAAAATTCTAAGCAAAATGAGGGGTCGTCGAGTTTTCCACGAACTTCTCATAAAAAGTTACAAGCATCACAAAAATCATGAAAAGGTCGTTTTTAGTCGATTTTTAAAAAAAATTCGTTTTTTCATGATGTTTGTTATACTTGTAACTTTTTATGAGAAGTTCGTAGAAAAATCGGCGACCCCTCATTTTGCTCAGAATTTTGTGTTCTTTAAGGTGGCATCGTTCAAAAATAACTCTGACAAAGTCTTCTAGAAGCTGAAAAATACCGTGTTCGATTTTTTTAGGAACCTTGCTATCATTGTTCATCTGTGAAATCTTGCTATAAAGTGTATTGGATAGAAAACTTCATTGGCTATTAAAATCACTATTCGGATTGGAGCTACATGCTTAACATTATGAAAAAAATTTAAAAAAATCGTTGTTTCTAAACTTTTTTCCATCACTTTATACTGTAGTCAATTACCACAAGAGAATATGTTAAATAAAATTCGAACGCTTGAAAATCGTATGCAAATAATAAGTGATCAAGTAATAATATTCTTTTATCTATTTTTTTTCTATATTTATTTAATATTAAAATTTATATTCAGCAAACTCTTATGTTTGAACATATTGAATGTTTAATGGATGGTTTAAAAATTTCACGCAGTGATTCTATTAAAACACGCGAACAACAACATTTTGATCCTGAAGAATCATGTAGGTTCATAGTTTGATTATTATTCTTATTTTTTTTTTATAAAAACAAAAAAGAAATTTTTTTTTTCACATTAGAATAGTTGATGAATCGATCAATAATATTTAACAATCAAAACAAAATAATTATCGATAATAATTACTATGAGAAACGTAACTAAATGCTATCAAAAGTTCTACATATCTCAATCAATGCTTAAAAACTTATTAAATTCAACTTTTAGTCTTATCTTAGAATAATAATTCCTACTTAGTTTAGATTTTTAAATTTTCAAAGAATATAAATAAATTTTTTTTTGTTATTTTTCTTTATTTTAGTGAATAATGTACAGGTAGACGATGAACTAATTTTTTCAAGCATATTATCAGCCTTGCTTTTATTTAATATAACAAAATGCATTTATTACTAACTATTAATTTTTAGTTCTTAACTGATTGATATAATAATACTTTAAATCTTCTATTGATTACTGTATGAATTAGATTTTACAATATAATCTTATGAAAGCAAACATTAATGATTCATTCTTTTTTCTTTTATGCATAGGAATCATCACCAGTGAAAAAAACAATGATAAGCGATGTTTGAATTCGTGTTCTATAGAAATAAATGATTTTTTTTTAAAATAATTATTTAAAAAATGAATTATGTGTATGTGTTTGTTTTGTTTATGAACTACGAAACTGATCATAGTTATTATTCATTGCCTTTTTTTTTGTCAAAATCTAACAAATTTTATGAATGCCGAAATTTTCTGGTTTATTTTTTTTTTTTTGTAGAACGTAAAAGAATCTTCCCATATAGTCATGCATTATTGATTTCTCATTATTTGTCTTTTATTTTAATTCTGAGATGTCAGAGAATAGTCAAGCATCCACACAATCAATAAATACAAACAATAATAATAGCAATTCAATATCAGGTACTGTTTGATCTTCTCTTCACACACCCGCACTTAGACTCTACCCGAAAATTATGTGATCAGTTAAGAAGAAGTAATGAAAATATCATGGAAGATCATCTGCAATGGAAAGTGGGTGAGTCTGACAGATCGTATGATAAACACTACTTAGCAGTCATTTCAAAAAAATTAACTATTCACATAAAAACCCTCTCTTTCAGCCAAAAAGTCTTTAATTTCCGTGTAGAAATCCTTTTGCAATACTGATTTCTATAGAAGATACAAGGAAAAAATAATTTCTTAAAGGGCATTGAAGATGAGATTTATTGAATATCTTTATTTCATAATCTTCACAAAATCTGCTTAGATACAGTGACGCTCAAAATTGTTCGTACACCTGACAAATGATCTTGTTTCTTTAATATCTCAAGATGAGTTCAAGATATAGAGGTACGGTTTTCGTCAAGATGTAGCCCGGTTGTCATAGATTTTTTTGCTGAAAGTTTCAGCTCTCTGAGTCCTAAGTCCTTTGATTTGGCTCAAAATTGTTCGTACATCTAACGAATGGGGTAAAACACATTGACCTCTCAGTATTTTCTCTATAACTCTTTCTCTTCAACGAAAAGAGATAATCGCTTTCATAGAAAGATTCGCCATGAAATTCTCTACAAACTGATCTATTTCACTTTGATTAAATACCTTTCATCATACCTTAAAATGAAATGAATTTGCTAAGAAACGGCAGATGAGAAGGAATTAGAAAAAAGTTATAAATAGTTGTTTTTTGAAAGTAGTGATCATCCTGCCAAGCAAATTCATTTCATTTTAAGGTACGATGAAAGATATTTAATCAAATTGAAATACACCAGTTTGTAGAGAATTTCATGGTGAATATTTCTATTAAAACAATTATATCTTTTCGTTGAAGAGCAAAAAAAGCTACAGAGAAAATACTGAGAGGTCAATGTATTATACCTCATTCGTCAGGTGTACGAACAATTTTGAGCGTCACTGTAGGTACCGTTTTAAGCATCAAATCAAACCCCGTGCAGAACAGAACATGTTTATAATATTTGGTGAGCAAAATAAAAATGAACATATACCAAGGCAACAGACTTCTGAGGTTTGAGTGAGCTCAAACATTTGTTTCTTGTTCCATGAGATTCATAGATTTATTCAGTATATCAATATTCTTGTAAAAATAGTAACATTTTCGTTGTGAAGAAGAATTTGAAGTCGTTCTTGAGAAAACATTGAATTTTGTATGACTAAATGTTGAACACGATATTCTTTTAATAACTTGGCGTTACACTCCTTTGTTACAAATGAAGAAGAATTGCATGAAAAATTCGAATTAGATTAACTACAATACAATTTATCAGTCAGAGATCAGAAGCACTAATTCTGTTTCATTTGAATAGTATCAAATGATTCGCTTCTTCCTTCTCCTGTTCTCACTATTCTTTACTTTTTGCTTGGTTTTTTAAAAAATCCTTGAGTCTATATTACCTTCAAAATATTGCATCACCTATGCATGTATATTATACATTTCGAAGAACGATCAGTGTTCATTTCTATAATCTACATATCAGGGTGATAAAAAGAAATGTCTGTAAAGATAATTCTAAATAGTTCAAGGTTGTTCTCGTAATATTTCGTATCATTAAATTAAAATTTCATATATTAAAAGAACTTTTTTGTTTTCGGAAAATCTTTGCCATATACTATAGAGATGTTTTGTATAATTGTTCATCACAAGTTTATATATCTGGTGGTATCTATTTTCGTTTTTGTTGATGGAGAAACATCAAAATAATTTAATATGATAGGAAACGGTATTAAAAATCCGAGAACACAAAGAAATACATCAACTCTACAAACAGTTAAATCCAATAAAATCCTAATAATTATTTCGTTTATAAGAAACGTCAAACTTTTGTTTTTAAACGAGAGAAGAAGAACAATCATGTCCTGTTTGAACAAAGCCAAAAAAACTGATTTTATGCTTTTCGAACAGTCTCTAACACTTAGTATCGATGTTAAAGTACTCAATGATCAATCAAAATGTTGGGTGTGGATGCAAGCTTTAGAAAAGAAGACATCTACCATCCATACTTCTTCTTACACTTACTGCAGAGCTTAAATTTAGATTAATATCATTTGATAATATTTTAGTGTCTTTGAAAAAAGTTTGGTATTGATTGTTCCATAATTTCAAACGTTGATTATTGCATTTTCATTGTGAAACATTCGAAAGTTGAGTGGGGCAATGATTACAACATTACTTTTTCAATATTTCAGCCAATAAGTATGAAAACATGTGTTTTTTTTCCATTCTATACAATCATTTATGACACATCTATCAGAGTTCCCAGTCGATGTGAGTGTGTAATCATGATGCATAGTTGGAAGAAAAATGTATTTGCATTTGTGCATTCTGCATACTACGAGTCATGTCTACTAGAAAAGAATCTTATTTTTTAACATTACCTATCGAGATTGTTCACCGAATTTTTGATAATCTCAATGCGGAAACAATTGTCCTGTCGGTTCGCTACGTGTCTAAACGATTTTATTCTATTGTTAAAGCTTACAATCGTTATGAATTGGACTTCCGCTTTATGTCAAAATCTGATCTATATCTCATGGCACATATTATTGATCCTAAAAATGTTATTTCACTTACACTTTCGGATGAAAGACAGACACCTGATCAAATTCAATTATTTCTTTCCCATTTTCGTATTGATCAATTTATTCGACTACGTTCATTGACTCTATTTAATATAGAAAATGAAGATTTGAATGAATTTCAAAAACATATCATGCAATATCCTCTCACAACATTCTCAATATCAACTCCTGACTTTTGTGAAGGCAACAGGGGCGCATTATTATCATCTATTATATCGCACAAGAGTTTACGCAAACTCGAATTCAAAGGAGACGGTTGGATTCTCAATGACATACAATGGCCTATTTCATGTAGATTAGAACATGTGATAATTTGTTGTCAGTGCAATTGGAATACAGTTTATTCTATTCTTGGTCACTTACCTCAACTACGAACATTAATTTTGAAAGATGTTTGTGGGAATCGATTCGATGAGACTATTATTATACAGTCTAGTCAATTAACTTCACTATTATTAAACAATAGTTCTGATATAACAATGGACAATATTGAGTCATTGCTTTCATTTTTACCTAAATTAACACATTTTCGACTAATTGGCCAAACATCTATAACTGATCCTTTATTATTTGATGGTTCTCGATGGGAAAATTTTATCGAAATGAAATTACCTCTATTGAACAAATTCGAATTCTGGTTGACTAGTGATGCATTCGATGAGGCAGATCGTACTACTGTAGAATCACTAATTGCACCATTTCGAACATCATTCTGGCTTGATACCAAACATTGGCTTGTTAAATGTGACGGCGAATATAATGAATATAATCGAAGATTTTATCTGTATTCTATACCAATTTTTCAAGATAATTTTCATTATTCTGACCAACGAAGTACAATTGTTGATTTCAAGTTGAATACCGGTGTTAATAATATAACAATCATCCACAATGCACATGAATTATCCTTAGATTTGAGCCATATGATGACTCCGAGTATTGGACATAAGGTAAGCATTACTTTACGTTTTCAAATCGATTATTTCTTCTTGAATAAATAGTTCTTTTCAAAGAAAGTCTACTGATTTTATAAAGTTGTCAAAAAAGCACTTTTCCTCTCTATTGCTGTGATTTCTCAAGAAAATTTTAATAAAATTTATAGACTTATCAAAATAAATAAAAGAATTCGAACAGTAGAATATAAAAATTGTACTAGAACCAATAGTGCTGAAAAAAAAGTGCCTCGTCTTCCCAGGTCGAAGAATCCGACAATAAGATCTTGTGCGATATTGCAATACCTTACAAGATCTTACTGTGAAATCTTATATGATCATATAAGATCGTATGAAAGTCATATAGGATCTTGTATGATTTTTATAAGATAGTCGTAAAGCCTGCACATCTGATCACATCGTACTGTACGATTCTTATATGATCTTATTGTATGATCTCATAAGATCTTGCATTATTCATACATGCTTCTATACAACTATAGGATGCATCGCATGATTGATATTCTTGCACTTTTCATCACCTCTACCTGATTTTTCAACAGGCTGAGTTACCTTCTTCAAATTCTTTGTTTCAAGAGAAAACATTTATCGCTAAATTTTTATCATTTTACTTCGTCTCCGACTAAATTTATTTTTAAATAAAAAAAATATTTATCATTTCTACATGAAAACATGCAATGAGTAATGCGTAATTTTATCAAAAACAGATCACAGTTCGGTTTGATGTTAATTATAAGCTCGTTCTCGAATAATCGACCACTAGTATATAGAGTAGAGTTCGATATTGAAATGGACTTAATTAATTACAAAGTTTTAGTTTGGAAAACGGTTTTAACCAAATTATATTGGATAAGATTTCCTTGATTTTATTTTAATCATAAATGAATAATTTTATTATATTTATTTTGTGTTAGTTGAAATGATCAGATAAAATAATTTAATTTAATTGTAGAAAAAATCTAGTATGTTAATTTTATTTCAATTGAAATAAAATAAAATGATAAAATTAGGTTAATTTAGTTCCATATAATGTAAATTCTAAATAATATTATCAAATTGAATATTAATTTTGTATTAAAAAAAATATAAATGCAATAATTCTATTAGTTTAACTGTATTTCAAGTAAGATAAATCTCTTCACTTTGAATTTAGTTTATTTTCCCAGACTATTAAATAAATAATCTTATGAAAGTAAATCTATTTTTTCGTAAAACAAGTATAGTTGCATTAAATTGCTTTCATTTTATTTTGACTATAAATAGATAATCTTCTTAGATTAATTATAACTTAACTGAAATAAGTTAAGCATATGCATCAAATGAAACTAACTCCTTTCACATTGATTGAAAGTAAAATAAAATAATATTTTTCATCATTAGTTTGAGTCAAAATAAACCCGGAAATATCGAAATTCAGTCGATGAAACCAAAAAGACTAAATAAGATCGATACGAATTTCAAATATCTAAAACAAAACTGGATAATTTTGAAGAATTATAAATTAATATAAAAAGCCTAGTTGTATTTTTGAAAAAATATATGACGTGCAATTTCTTTCACCATACCAGAATATAAGACGAATGTAACGGTTTCTCGCTCATATATATAGTCTATATTAGCCATTGTCAGCTTACGTGTCCTCTACACTAGAGAATTATTATTAATTACAGTTTTACAAACAAATACAAAAATGTTTTTTTTCAATAAGAATAAACGATAAAATGAATTTAACGAGATAAAATTCAAAACAATAATAAACTTAATCAAGTCAAATCAAATTGATTAGTAGTGTGCTTTTTTTATAATAAGCATCGCTGTATACAAAACGTGTATTTGCAATTTAAAAAGAAATTATATTTCTATTAGGAAGCATTCCATCACTTAAACACGTGTAGTAATCTACATCTATAAACCTATCGTTATAAAAACTAGTTTGCATGAGAAATATCTTAAAATTATGGTCTGACAAGATCCTACAATATCTTACAAGACTCCCATACTCAGATCTTGCAAGAATCTTATATCAAGAATCATATAAGATTGACGCCAGCATCTTATAATAAGAATCATATTAAATCTTAGAACAAGAAATTTGCAAGATTTCGTAAGATCATACAATCTGAATCTTACAAAATCTAATTGTCAGTAAGATCGTATAAGATCTTATATGATCCTCGTACGATTTTTGCACCTGGGTTATTGCTTATGTTTCTTCAATATACAATATGTATCATAAAATAACTTGACAATAAAAAATTTGCAATATAATTATTACTCTAATAGTAGAGAATAATTTCAAAATAAAACATTTTCCATGAATAGTTTATCAAATGACTAAATAATTTTAAGTTAATATACCGGCTAGGCGAAAAATAATTGCTTTATCAATATTTTAAATTTTCTTCTCTTCTTTACATGTAATCGTACTCGTTTTATTATGAAAAAATTCTTCATTAAATTCTCTACAAGGATACACTAAAACATGGCCTTTTCACAATGTAAGAATAAGAAATTGCACGAATCACTCTGAAAGTCTTAGAAAAACCCGAAAATTGTAAAGTTTTTATTTTATTTTATGGTTATATCGGATATTGGAAAAAGTAGAGTGTGGTGGTTGGGCATGGGTGTAACTACTTTATTTTCCCATCCACACCTACATATTGTTGAAGATAAAGCTTTTTTATTTATTTTCAAAGTCAATATACATAATTTTGTTTTTAGATTAATTCAAAAACGAATTATCTATTTCCAAATGTGACAGAGCTTGAACTGAGGATTGATCGAAAATGGCCCATCAACTCAATTGAATATCTTTCAACAATTCTTAATTTATCGAATCTTCAAACACTACACTGGTGTTTCTATTTTGAATGTATGTTCGATAGAAGTCTGGATATCGAAATAGATACTCTATTCAAACGAGCATGGAACTTGCGTTCAATTAAAATAAGTTGTTGTGGTTCCGAGAGAATGAAATTGATAACGATCAATGCTATCTGTTTGAAATTACCTCATCGTATAAAACATCTTGATACGGAAATCACATATGTGGAAGATGCCATGGTGATATTGGAACAAGCCAAACATTTAACCAGTGTTACATTTCGACCCTCTTATGATGAAGAGAATTTCGCGGATGAGATTATTCGATGGCTCTCGCATATGAAAAGAGATTTTTCATATGGGATAGAGGGGGACACAATGTGTGACTCTAAACACGAGGTAATGTTCGATGCAATACAGCTATGGCTTGGCAAGTGCATGAAGAAGCAATCGAACGTATCTATTAGTCACAAACGTGTTAAACGAACTCATCACTATGACTAATCATAATTTATTGGCTTTATTGGTTTAGATGGGCATGATTTCAAATATTCATTGACATACTGATCAACTTATTTTGCGATTGATCTTCAAATATAAATCAAAATATTTATAATTACAGTAATTTTCCTCTAATAAAAATGTGCGCGTAAATATTTTCTTCATATATATCTATACTTCACACCTTTTTTTCATGTTGTGTTAACAAATAATCGATTAATTTGGTTTAATCAAAAAAATTCTACTAAACAATTCGATCATAATTCAAAAAAAGGAATTAATTCACGAAAAAATGAATGAGTAATTATAAAAAATGATCTGTTTCATTAGACAATAATAGTGTTTTCTAAACCTAAAACAACATTATTTATTTAGTTTTGAAGATTTTAATTCACATATTCTAAATATTAATGAATAAGATAACTTTATCAATTGATGTTTATAATAAATAATATTATGTTTAGAAAATAAGATTGACTGACATATTAATATCAAATTGAGATATTCACATTCTAAGATTTAAAATAGTTCAATCAGAAAAAAACATTTCTTAAAATCTTAACTAATTTTGTTTTTTTTTTCATATTTGTTTCAGTGAATAGCTAATTAATAAAATTCATTCGAAAATTTGAAAATGAATTCAAGTCAACTTAATATATCGAACAAAACACAATGTAAAAGATGTATCGATAAACTAACAGCTTAAGGAGATGATAAACGCTCGAGATATGAAAATTCAGATAATTAGAAAGATAACATTTTTGATCGAACAATCTTTTTTTCGAAATTCTATTGACCAATGACTTTAAGTGCTAGAACAATTCGTTGCAATGACGTATACCAATTATAGTATATATATATTTTTTACAAAGATGAATCGATATATTCAATTAAATTTAAAATATGTAATCGAATGACTATAGAAATTATTGGAAATATTAATAATGAATAAACTTCGATTATTTATTTCGAACAATACGATACTGTTCTTGTTTGAATAAAAAGCTAGTTTAGATGAGCTATAAAAGTAGTAAGAGTTTTCCTATACCAGTGAATATGATACTGCACCTTTTTTTAATTAACTCTGCAGCTTAAGGGCATCCCCCTTTCCCAGGTTTCTCAGGAATGGCTCGATTAAAAGTTATGAAATTTTAAGGGTAAATAGATCTTGACTATCCGAGTAAAAGTTGTCATCGACTTAAAATTCGCAGATGCTTCCTTCTTGGAGATATAGACGGCGCAAGTGCCAAAAATGGCCTGAAGTTGTCCCCCTCGCAAATAGCTAAAACTCATTATTTATGGCTGAATAATTTTTGTGGCAACTAGGACCAAATTGGAGCGTATATTTTTTTTTTCTTTGAAAAATATTGTTTCCTTCACTCAGAAGAACTGAAAAACTTATTAAAAAAACGTGTTTTTTCTCCTGAGGACAAATTTTGTAAGATTTACCAAAAACTACCAGAACATTATTTCAAGAAAAGAAAAAATATATACTCTTCGATTTGGTTCTAATTGCTACACAAAATGTTTCAGTTCAATCGGTAGAAGCGTCTGGAACCAAAAAGGGGAAAACTTCAATTTTTCTCTAAAAAAAAGTTGATTTTGAGAAAAACGCGAAATAGGGTAAAACCATTTTTTTATGCATAGCTATCAATTAATGCAGTTGCAAAGCGGCTAGGAAGATGCAATGCTGATCTACATAACACATTTTGATGATGAAATAAATATATCACTATAGATCATTTACAACACGACAAAACTGCAAAACGTGATTTTTTTGTATAGGGGATGTCGAAAGTCGGGTTTTTAAGAATCCAGATAAACATAAGAACTTTTCGTTCATATGCCATTTGATAGAGGACCCTTGAATATCTTTATATATATACAAAAAATTAAAATCGAGAAAAATGAATTTTTGGAGTCAGAAAAAGGGGTTCCTTAAGACTTCTGACAATGGGAAAATACTTTAAAAAACATGAACGAAATTTAGCGTTCACTCAAGAGGAATACCTTTGACGTCATCAGAAAAAATAATTTTTAATGAGTTTCTGATTTTAAATCTTCCAATTTGACGTATATATTCTGTTAGTTTAAGGACCACCACCTGTTATTTATATATTTAAAATTAAACTAAACTAATCGGATTCAATCCATGATTCAAACAATACAACAAGTAGTTTTCATAGTGCCTCGTAACCGAGGGTTTTTTCGGTCCTATTGACACGAATCACGGAATAGGAAATAGATTGTTTTTTTTTTGTCTTCCTAGGATTCTGTATAGCAGCTCATCACGAGATCAAAAATCGAAGCTTAGCCATTTAATTACATATTTCAAATTTTATTGAATAAGTCGCTTCATTTTGGAAAAATAGATATAAACTATGATTGGATTCTGTCATTGCAATGAATTGTACGGTCACTCGAATTTCAAGTTTTGTCAAGATTCATGAGAATAGATTGCTCTCTATTATTAGATCAACATATGATGATCCAATGAGATTTCGACTGTCGTCTGAGGAAAAAATAAAGAATGTTAAGAGTTGAGCTAGTTGTTCAACGATATTCTTACCTCAAGCAGGTTTTCAAGGCACCAGATGGGCTCGATGAGAAATCAAAAATTTCAGTTGTATATTTGTTTTTTGTTCGTGCTGTTGGAATTTCGAATCTTGTACAACCGCCGGTTACGAGTATTCATTTTCAACTTCTTGCGGATATGGGTGATAAGATAATCCCGATTCCGTAATTAAAAGGCCTACCTAACCCTCATCCTATCCAGTAACGTATTCAGAGAGGCTAGGAGCCCTAGCCCCCCATCGCTTTAGAAAAAAGTGAACCCGATGGAAAAATAGATTCACCTGTCTCCTCCTACAATGATCTCGGCCAATGCCTGAGACCTCCCACTCGTGGAAATTTTTTATGGCCACGCTATTAACCCTATCTTGCAAAGTTTCAGCACACAATGGAAAAAGAAAGACTCACACAACTTGTTTGACTTGATGTCAATCATTGATACGATATCTTCTTTTGATATCTTATAACATAATATTATTTGAATATACGTTGTCACTACTTTTTTATCGTTCGAAAAAATCATGCCGGAGGGTAAATTGAAATCTGAAACAGAGATCACACCCGAAGAGTGTGAGTGTCATTATCACTCTGGTTTTGGATATTCTCTCCACATATTGATACTCACACCCACACCCATACCCTCAATGCTAAGTTCCTTGAAAGAGAAAACGACTTTTCAATATTGATCTATTTTATTAAAATATCTTCTAAATGTGTATCACTAAGCTGCGCAAAGAAATCATTCACAAAAAGCTCGACTAAAACGAAAACGCGGAGAAAAAAAATTGTATTTTTATCGATAGCATTACGGATTACATTTTGTTTCTTCAAAAATAAGCACAATATAATTGTCAAGAAAATAATTAAATTCTCAATATTGCATTAGTAATCAACACAAAAATAAGAGCTCCTAAAGTTGTGTATCGATTGAAAATCTGTGATGCAGCATTCATACACATTCCATTTGGCACCGCTCCTGGATCAGTACAATAGTTCTGATGTTTTGCTACACATTGTACTTTACACGAGGCCTCGTTGCATGATGCCAGTGGAAACATAGGAGGCATTGCACGTAAGCCACGACCAACGTTGCTCAATCAATGTCACCGATTTGGCTGATATTTTTACAGTAGGTAGGCCTAAGAGTCTTAGGGAGAAACTGAAAATTTCAGCTCAAACGGATGAGTCGTTCTGGAGATATAGACGATACAAGTATGACGGGGTAGGTCCCATTTGGAGTACTTTATAGTGCAATACTTTTCAGTAAATCTCTATTTTCTCGAGAACAACAAGAGATATAACTGAGATTTTTTTACCATAAATACTATCAACGATGGGCTATATTTTTATGGTAATAAAAGTATCTCATCGCTGTATGATTTTTGCTTGACATTATATACCATTTTCAGAAAGCATATTCACGTATATATGGCAAGTTGGTCGAATCAGTGCACTAGAATAAATCGAGAGTAGTCTCATCTGAAAGAGCACATCAAAATGCATCGACTGACGTTTTCAAAAATTTGGCAGATTGAACTTTGGTAGCAAAAAGTTTTTGAACAAGACTAGAAAGGCTGAATTTGGGCCCCGACCCTCCCTATCAAGATTGACGGTTTCTTTTCAAATATTCGATTTAAGTGTTTCAAATGAAAGCCCATATC